CATAAATAAAATCTTTAAAAAGAAGAAGAAGAAGTCTGCCTTCCACTGATAGAAACAGAATTCATCAGAGTAATCCACAACAGGCTACAGGGGGTGTTCCCTTTTTTAATTTCAGCACTTAATTAATGTCTTAGAATGAAGATAATGTTAATAGAAAATGCAGAAGTAAAACATTCCTCCTGTTTATAAGCAGGACTATCTTTGGAGACAGCAAAATAAAACAAAGCAAAACAAACCCCAAGCATTAGGAACCAAATCAGTGCTCTTAGAGAGGTAAGGCCTAATGGTCTTAAACATGGTCAAATGACTAAAATTCAATTCTGACATGTATTTATCATTGCTCCCTGCCAAGAGACTCCATTAAAAAGAGATTTCCCGTTGTTCCCTGGCCACTTGGCCCAATTTGAGAGAGAACGAGCACGTGAAAGGTAGAAAAGAGAATTCAACAAGTTTCTAGGAGGAAAGCAGAAGTGGCCAGCAGCAGGATCTCCAGCCGAGATAAGTGTGGAAGGAGGTTTTCCTAGGAGAGTTCTGGTGAGCCGGGAAAGGCTCGGACCCGAGAGAGGTTGGAATTAATGCCACAGGAATAAACAGTGGCAGATTCGATGAAAGTCAGGTCCCCTTTGGGACCCTTAGACACAGATTGCCAGCTGCAAGCTGCCCCCTCCTCTGCCCACCCCCTCACCCCCAACCCCGGCAGATCTATTAAGGGAAAGGAAGTTAATGGAGATGGCAGATTAACCCTCTCTTTGACCTCTCCAGCCTCACCGCTCAAATGACAGTGAAGAAAGCTTTATAAAAGTCTTTCTCCACAAGGGCAAAGACAACATAAGAGGATTCAGTGCCTGGACAAGGATGTTCAACAAAGTGTTCAAATGTAGAAAGCAGGTGGAGGAGCATAACTGGCCAAGCAGAAGTTTTAACCTAAAACCCCACAGAGGGAGATGCAGAGGAGAAATGAGCAAGTCCCCAGAGAGACTCAGTACTTGGGGCAGCGGGAGGGCAGGAAGAGAGCGGACTACTGCAGTAGGTGAAAGTTGTTTCTACATGGAAGGGTGGGACACCCAGGTCCCCATCCCCAGCCACAGAGCCTGGCTATGTCCCCTCTGCCAGCTACAGGAGCCCAGGCTGAGGGGAGGGGCAAGAGAGCGAGAAAAAGCCAAGCGAGGGGCCAGGACTGTGGAGAACCTAGGTTCCTTCCTTCTCCTGATCCCCAGCAAGCCTACAGGCAAGTGTATGCCGGCTCAGGTATATCCTTCCCCCCAGGCAGAGAACAGAGCATTCCTCTCCAGAGAAAACGATCACCCCAGAGAAAAGACACGTGAGCAGTGATGTTTATAGCCCCAGTGAAAAGGTCCACCTGCCATGAGTCCTCTCACAGCAAAGACTAGCAGGCAGGAGACCACCCAGGAGTGTCATCTGAAATACGGAGAGCCACAGAGCTTAGGGAAGGGGTTGTGCTCTCCCTTCGTGTGTGTTACAGCTGTCTCCTCCTGTCCTGCTGGGCACCCATTCAACAGCCTTATCTTTTGAGTGGCAGTTTGGGCCCTGGCCTGGGGCGGGGGGGGGGGGGGGTTTACCCAGGAATATCACAGATCCAGGCTGGATCCCGCGATGGTTTGTCTTGATGAGTTGCCACCTCCATCTTTCTCAAAGCCATGGCCAGGAGCATGGCGGCAGTCTGGTTTTGCTGCAGTTGGCTGGTTGGCCTGCTTTTCATGAAACGGGAGGGAGCAGTGGGCCGGTGCCCAGGCCTTGTCTAGACTGGAGCTTACTTAGAGCGCTGACGCCCAGCAGGTGCGCTCCCAGGCACCACCGACAGGCTCTGGGTGCCACACACTTGCGAGCTTGTTCAACGTTTTGCATTTTGTTCTACTCTGACCCTCGGAAATCTTCCTCTTGTTTTTGAACAAGACTTTTTGGCTTTCTCTTTTTTATATGTTACGTGTCTTTATTATATGTTTGGAATGGAGAGGTTGGCCAAGTTGTGAACTCATTGTACCATCTTGACAGAACGCATTTTGGTTTCTAACATTACTCCAAAAAGAACGGAGAAGAGTTGATTCTGTGTTTGGGGCAACAGAACTGAAGTTGGGAATAGATTATCATAGAGACCATGAAAGACATCCAAGAGAGCGACAAGAGAGGCAAATTGAAGGGGCCAAAACTGACAGGCATCAATAAGAAAATGATTACTGTCACTGGGACCAACTGAATCAGATTCAGACCCTGAATCCATGATGTCCAAATGGTATGGACGAAAGTGCGCCGAAGAAGTCACATGCTCCGATCTGAGTCTGTTGAAGCTTGACTCATAAAGCATGGGCTATAGAAAAGTGAGCTGGACTGTGGCACTTCAATCAACCTCAGAATCAGAGGGACCTGATAAGTAAGAGGATATTAAAAACTTAGATTCAGGGGCAGCTGGGTGGCTCAGTTGTTAAGCATCTGCCTTCGGCTCAGGTCATGATCCCAGAGTCCTGGGATCGAGCCCCACATCGGGCTCCCTGCTCAGCGGGGAGCCTGCTTCTCCCTCTCCCTCGCTCCCCCTGCTTGTGTTCCCTGTCTGTCTCTGTCAAATAAATAAATAAAATTTAAAAAACAAAACAAAACAACAACAACTTAGATTAGATCATAGGGAAACGAGCTGGGGTAAGAACTTTGGGCACGCACTCCATTTTCTTTGGATGGAGCTGGGGCCTTGTTGATGCCAAGGCCGGCTGAAGAACCAGGAGAGCTTGCTATCTGCAAGCACACCTCTAAACAGAGACACAGAGATCTTTAGGGTTTTTCTAGAAGGGTGATGTGAGCCCCAATATAGAATGCCAGTAGGGTAGCAAGAACTGAGACTCCAGATCCAGGGAGGTCCCACCTTATGTAAAGTCTCACTGACACATGGGAGACCCAATGGAGATCTGGGGCAACAAAGGAAGTCCTATCAGCTCTTTACTTCCAAAATAACCTTACAGCTTTGGCTAATTACATCAGGAACTTATTATAGCATGTAGAGGTAGGGGGGCCTCTCTGCCTGCCTAGTTCTACCTGAAACACTTCAGAATAAGGAGAAGAAAATGAGGATATAAGAAAAGCAAAGAGAGGTACTTAGAAGCCCCCAGGGTGAAAGACTAGATGAGGAAGAAACAGTTGTATTATATTATACTATTAATTCTGGAGCAAACAATATTTATTTATATAATCATATAATATAGATGCTTTCTGTTGCTTTCAGCTTTTTAAATAAACCTTTAGAAAAAGTACAGATGATTTCCTTGTGATTACACAGTACAATGTTAAAAGAAAAAAAGAATTTGATCATGTAGAAGTAAAAGGACAGCTAGCCAAAGTCACGGGAGGGAATGCAGATGGAGTGCTGGAAGGGCAGCCAGGGGAGCTCAGATGCAGTTCTCAAAGTGGGGTGACAAGAGACTCTATCCATTGCTAAGGCTAGGAACACAGAAACCTTTTTGAGAGCCATGGGGTTAAACTCTATTGGACATTTAAAGTTCTATCTGGAAGGATACAAAAGAAACTAACAATCATAGCCTCTAGCAGGTGATCAGAGCCTAGGAACAAGGAACAAGAATAAAGGGGGGGGTGGTGGTAGCCTTTCACTGCAGACCCTTTGTATCTTTGAATTTTAAAACTTTTTAAAATTTTTAAGTAAAAATAAAGGTAAGTCATCAACCATCCAACTTCCAGGACTGCCTCCCACACCCTGGAAGAGCAGCACCGCTGCGCAAGACCCGCCCAAGGACATTCGGTGAATGTCTGCAGCCAAGAGCAAACGGTTGGATGCAACCGTAATGTCCCTTAGGATGGAGATGGGCGTATTACAGGAACCATACTAGGGAATATCATGCAGTAAAGAATCATTTAGACCTATGTTGAGGAAAATGGAAAGGTTTCCTTAATACCTTGTTGAATGAGACAAGTGAGTTAACATAGGTAAGATCCCATTTTGGGGTATATCTAAAAATGATATGTATATATGATCTGCATATGCACACTTTGTAGTACGGAAGGGCTCAGCAAACTTAACAGCAGTATATTTCTGAGGTAAAACTGGGGAGAGGGGCGCCTGGGTGGCTCAGTCGTTAAGCATCTGCCTTCAGCTCAAGTCATGATCCCAGGGTCCTGGGATCGAGCCCCATATTGGGCTCCCTGCTCGCTGGGAAGCCTGCTTCTCCCTCTCCCACTCCCCCTGCTTGTGTTCCCTCTCTCGCTGTGTCTCTGTCAAATAAATAAATAAAATTAAAAAAAAAAAAAAGACTGTGGAGAACAGTTTCCATCTGAGCATGTCTTACTTGAATTTGTTATGGGATCTCTGCATAATGTGTAGACTTTTTTCAATCATTTTCTCAAAGCACAGCATTGCTCTGTCAAGTGAAAAAAGGCTTGGGAGGGGCGCAGTGAATTCGCAGAATAAACTCCAGGTAGGAACCACTCTGAACATCTCTGCCTCCCTTGAGAAGGGCAAGGCTTGATCAACGTCATTTCCATGTCAAATGCCTTACGACCCAACAGCATGGTGATCTGTCCCATCTGAATCCTTAAGAGTTCAGAAAAGTGGGGGGCAAGACCTCGTATGACCATTAGCTCAAGATCATGGCATCTCTCTGTCATTGTGGGACTCAGTAAATGCTTCTCGAATGAACAACTGCCCAGACACTGTCCCCAGGAGCTGGTTTCCAAAACCCCACCCGACCTGCAGCCACAGCTGTTCATGTTCTGGCCCCACAACAACTGTTCACAGAAACCGTGGCCTGGCAGGGGGAGGATGGGGGCGTCCAACCCTGACCGAGGGCTGCCCCCGTGACCCCTGCACAAGGACTCAGCCACCCATAAGTGTGACTGTCTCGGTTAATAACACACACATTTTAGGAAAAACCAGCAAGGTCACGAAACTTCCACCCCTATCTGGGCCTGGAGGGTCTACGGGGCCCAGAGGCCTCTCGTCCAGAGCACAGCGATTTTGTAGACATCCACACCAACACCACCCACAGCTGCTGATTTGTTTATTGCACGAGAAACTGGCAATACCAAGGCAAGGGGGAAGGCATTACAAAACCATCTGTTGACCAACCCAGAGCTACCGAAGGGCATTCTACACAACACCTCAGTTATATACATGTATGTACACACACGCACACACATGAAGACACTCTGAATACCTAAGAGTCTCAGGCTTCCAAACCCCACACATCAGCTTGCACCCCAACCCCCCCAGGAGAGAGGGACACTGCAGGGAAGCACAGCAAATGACTCAAGGAAAGAAAAAAGGCTGAGCTCCGGTGAGCTGAGACACTCAAATCAGCACACGCAACAGAGCAGACACGGCTGTCCCTCCTGGGCGGCGAGGGGGGAGGTGGTGGGGAATAAGAAAGGATCTGGGGATGTGAGCCAGTCCTAAGAAGGCCCTGTGACTGGTCAGTGGGCCTGCCTGGGGTCCTAGGAAGCTCAAGCTAGTCTGCAGCTGGTGTTCAGTGAGAGAGCCCCAGGGGCCTAGACCAGGGAGCTCACGACCACCACCCCTCCAGCATCCCAGAGGAGCATGTTCGCCTTGCACATCTCCACACATGTCGGAGGCTGGCGGGAGCTCCAGAAACCGAGTCAGACCATGTGCGGCAGCTTGAGGCCCTTCTGCTGGTCTCCAAGTGCATCATTTGGCATGTGCAGATAAAGCCTCACTTCCAGGCAGGATGAACATGCTCTAGGGTGGCTGGGACACACTGCATTCTCAACAGGAGACTAATGGACCTGCCTGTAGCCTCAGGGGCTGGTACGGAATGACAGGGTCATCCACCCCCACATGCTCCATCACTTGGGGCAGCCTGAATAACTACATCTAGCAAAGGAAGTTCTCTACCAAAGGTGGCAAGGTTGGGTGACACCCAGGATACCACCCTCCCCTCCCTGTCAAGGCTTGGGGACTAGGCCGCTGTGAAGCTGGGCCGCCGGGTCAGGCCTGCCTGAGCTCACAGAACTGCCAAGGGGGTTCCTAAAAGGAGCAGCTGTTTGGGAAATTCTTGGACCAGCGGTGCCGGTCCCTCCAGGTCCCAGGGACTCCCGGTGTACCAGCTCCTTGACAGAAAGTGACAGCGGCATACCGACATCAAAACACAAAGTAACCCTACACACAAAATGCTTCAAGTTGATACAAAAGGGAAAAGAAAGTCTGAGGAAGTTTGTTGTTTCCAACCCACTCACACCCAAGCAGCTGGTACAACCCTTTATTCGCAGGAAAGAACAAATTGTCCCGCACCGAGTGCAGAGATGGGCCTCGCTGCTCACCCTCAGTGGCTGGGTCCTGCTGGGAAAGGCAGCGGCGGGCCTTGACCCAGAGCTCTCTCCGGGCGCGGGAAGAGTTCCTCTCCCTCAGACCTCCATTTTATACAGATCACTGGAATAGTTCTATTTAAAACAGAACCTCTTTTACTGACAAAGACCCTGGGCCTTCTCAGCCCAGAAGAGCTACCCCGAGTGAGCGGCCAGTGTCCTTCTTGCCTAACTAGCCCGTGAGAACCAGGGCTTCTGCTGCAGCTCTTCGGCACAAGGCCCCCTTCCCTGCACGCTCATGCACGCCTAGCGCTGGTCTTAAGGGAAAAGGAGGAAGAGCTTACAGAGAGGGTCAGGCCTCCAGACTTTGCAATGGGTGACGGGGCCAAAGGTGACATGGGGGCTTTATTCCAGACTGCCACCAGTGGGTAGGATAAAGGAAGGGACAGGCAGGACCTCTTGAGGTCAGGCTCTGCTACCAGTCTGATGACAGTGTGGTCCCACACACGGCCACCACCTGGAGGGCGGAGCGGGGGGTGGTTCCCAGGAGCTCTGTGGCCACTGGCCTCTCGGGCAGGAAGAACTCATGACTACATGTGCGCTGGGGGGTGGGGGGTGGGGGGCAGCCTCAGTTACTCCTGTCCGAAGCCTTCAGTCTCCTCAATGGCGTACAGCAGCTTCTCTTTCAGCTGTTCATAGCTCTTGTACGGTGGGAGATCCAGGCGGTTGAAACTGTTGAGAGAGGGAAGCACAACAGTCAGCAGAGGGAGGTCAGGGCTCCATGGCCCTGCCCCAGCCTGGCTACAGTGGGGTCAAAAGAGTTCACGTGACCGTGGCTCGACCACAACACCAAGTGGCCAGATGCCAGAACAGAGTCCTTGAGGGCCCTGCGGTGTGAGGCCTTCATGCTTCCTGTCCCTGCCCCCACCACCCCCCAGAAGGGTCAGCAAACAGGGCAGGGCAGCTGGAGAAATGGGGGCCTGGGCAGAGGGCACACAGGGAAGCAGCTCTTTGTCTAGTGGAACAGAAGTGTTTGAATATTTAATAGCTGGTGAGACCATGAGGACACGGAACTGCACCACAACCGCCACAAAATCAGAGGCCCCTCCTCTCCAATCCCAGGGCCACACAAAAGTTGCCGAAGTCCCTGAAGCTGCCCCACCCACAGGGCTGCCCTCAGGAATTCATCTGGTCTGTGAGGTTCTGGCCACCTCCCACTAAAACCAGCAGGCTCACCACGTGTGACTTCTGGGCAGCCAGGTTTCCTTGCCAACCTTGTCGATGCAAAACTTCTGTGGTCCATTGCTACCTGTTACCCAAAAAGAAACACGCCTCAGGACCACAGGACCACGCCTTCCGTGGGCAGGACCTTGACTCCACCCACAGATGGCTCAGGTCCTGCCCACTGACTCGCAGGGTGGGAGCAGCCCTCAGGCCCACCCCAGGGCCCCAGCAGGGCAAGGGAAGACATACCGATGAGTTCCGCAAATCCGCCAACAGGCAGGCGGCAAGTCCCAGTGACGAACTGCAGCAGTCGGATCCTCTTCTCGTTGTCCATCTCCTTCACCACCTAGAACGAACTCCACCAGTCAGAGCAGAGCCGGGCAACCCACGTGACCCAGAACCTTGCTCTAACCTGTGACTCCTGTCAGCCAGAACCCCTCTTTAGGGCTGAGAACACAAAGCCCGGGTTGCATCGGGGGTCAGAGCCACCATCCTTGGAAACCCCAAAGCCGCTCCCTCTGACAGGGTGTTTGGAGGCCAGTCCCACCAGCCCATGGGACATCTCTGGTCTCAGGGGCCCCTCGAGTCAGGTATTCTTTTCCCATCCAAGTTCTGCTTTGAAAAATATACTAAGGATGGGAGTGATTGCTTAATGGGTATGGGGTTTCTTTTGTGGGGGGAAATGAAATGTTCTGGAATTAGATGGTGGTCATGACTGCATCACACTGTGAAGGGCCAATGAACCGTAATACCTGAAAATGCTTAACACGGTGAATTTCATGGGATGGGAATTTTGCCTTCACAAAGAAATTTTTATTTACCTACTCTTTCTCATGTATGCTATGCTTCATAATGACAAGGACAAGACTACACATATAAAAGAATCAATTCATTATATCCAGGACTCTGAGCTCATTCAGTTTCTCTGGGGACAAGCACGTGCTGTCCCGTCCCCCCCCAGCTGGAAGGAAAACCACACAACCAATGGGAGCTTCCCTTCCTGCCTGCAGGCTCACCCTCCTGCCCGCCAAGGCTGACCACCAACATGTCCTGTCAAGAGCCCTGGACGCAATCCAGCTGCAACAGCTCTGTTCGTCCCAAGGCTGGGTTTCTCTTCTCCTTTCACAAAGTGAGGGGAGCGTCAGAGATGAGGGAGGTGACCATGAAACACGTGTCCTTGAGCCTGAGATCGAATCGGGTCTCTTTCCTGTGGCTGACTACTAATACCCCTGCCCGGACCCTTACCCCAACCCCGCTGGGACGGGCCCCAGGACCTACCTGCCAGAACCACTGGATCTGCTTGCTGTTCTTGGTGTAGTGTCGGTAAATAGTGTTCTTCTGCCAGTCGCTCATGTCTATCTCTTGCATGCCGCAAAGCATTAGCTGCAGGGAGGACAGGTGTCAGCCGCCCAGTGCCAGCCCCCTTCCCGCTCACGAGATCAAAGCATCCCAAACATCTTCATGATTTCTGCTGGCAGCGCTAATAACATGGGTGATACGAGTCTTGAATGTGGACGCCCTCAACACAAGTGTGAGAAACCCAATCACAACGATGTGCCCTGCTGCCTCGGTCCCGACGGAGTGTGAGGTTCTACTGGTGAGTTTCTCTGGAGACGCAGTTTGCCAACAAAGGGCACGACCGCCCCGGAGGCACAGGCTCCGGGTGCCGGCGACCCCAGCTCTCACCTCCAGCTCTTTCTCATCAAAGTAGCGCAACCACTCCAGGGGGGCCACCTCGTTGAAGCCATCCAGGAAGGCTCTGGTCTGCTCTTCCACGCCCCGGGTGAAACGCCAGTCGGTCAGCAGCCTAAAACCGAAGACCAGCCATCAGCGGAGCTGAGACGCACTGCTCGGGTGCAGCTTGGGCCTGCCAGGAGGCTGCTGTCACAGCGAGCGATCAGCTGAGAGGTGGCTTCGGCGCACCCAGAGCCAGTGGGCTGCCGGCCCCGGGCCCGACGCCAAATGGGAGGCTGTGATCCCTGGTGAAATGCGCGGGGGGCCTGGGTGGAGGGTGCCCCAGAGACAGGGGTGGCTCTGCTCCCCTCCCCCCGCCCCCGGCTCCCCAGTGCTTAAAACTCACATGATGTACTCGTCCTTGTTCTCCTCTGTCACTCGGATGCTCTCACCACCTTCCTTGAGCTCGTGGGTTGTCACCTTGCCCAGGATCTCCATGTCCTGGATGAAGTACAGCTCTAGACCACACTCTTCCAGGTTGTTCTCTCTGGGGGCATGAGAGATCAAGAGGGAAGAGGTCTACCTTAGAAGCGTCTCCCCTCATCCTGCTCTGTCACTCACTTTAGTGCTCATGGGATGCTAGGACTCACAGCCTAAATCCAGAACAGCCGCAGGAGAGAATTCTGGAGCTGCCCGACAGGGAAGCCTAGGAGCTGCGCACCTCCACAAGCACTTATAAAGCCCATCTTTATGGGCTCAGAGCCATTCTGGCAGAGAAAATAAAGGCCTACTCCCCAACTTTGGTACCCCAAGGCCACCATGCACAGTTGTGTTGGAGATCCCTCTCCTCCCAGCACAGCACAAAGGAGAGGACTCACTTGATCCAGACAATAGAGTTGTAGAATTCGGGGTCGATAGATTCCAGGTCCTTCAGGGTTGGTCTCTTGTTGAGCATCCGCTTATAGAAAGGGAGGGTGAAGCCTGTGTCAATGAACTTTCCATGGTACAGAGCCTGAGGAAGAAGAGACAAGGCCAAGGGTTTTGGTCTTCTTAGGACACTGCCCGAGGCAGGCTCTTGGATGCTCCACACCAAAGCCCAACTACTGCCACCTACCCTTTCTCCCCAAGAGCAACTGTGACCTTGGGACAGTGTCTCACCACAGCTGCAGACCACAGGGGCAGGCAGAGCTGGCCTACTTAGGAACGCACTGCCTGCCCAGCACGCTTGCCCGCCAGCTCCCTGCTCTAGCAGAGATCTGCCCCACGCTTACGGACAGCACAAGCCCAGGTGGCAGCCCTGACGAGTGAGTCAGTGACGCTCAGAGCTGGGCAGCAGAGGCAGCCAAAAATAATGCAGACGCTGTCAACGGCGGGAGCTGGCGGGCCAGTGGTGAGTAATAGTCTAGGGTTTTACTGGTCTGTCCTGTCGGCTGCTGGGCCAGGCGGGTCTCTAGACCTGGGAAGAATGTGCCCACTTCCTGAGCCCAGCACCTTGGCCAAGAACTTCCAGACAGGGGAAGGCACATATTTAGTCATGGCTCTTGGGTTCTCGCGGGCAGAGCATTCAGGAAGTCAGGAGGAAGCAAAGGAAAATTAGCAATGAAACAAACTACCAAATATGGCAGAAGGACTGTGGCTACTATGGGCTCCCCTTTCTCAACCCTGGTTCTCTACCCTCAGGAGACACTCGAAAGGATGCACGTGACATGATGCCCTCCTCTATTCATACTGTGTTCCTATTTCTAGATAAATACAGTACCGTGACTCCCCTTTCCCTGATGACGATGCCTCCTACATCCTGACCAGCTGGTCTACCAGGCTCTGTTCTAAGCTAGTGTTGATTCCAAATCCCCTTCCAGAAGGCCCGAGTGTCTCAGGCAGACATTCCCTAACACTCTCACCCGAGGGTTATGACAGACGGTGGTACCCCACCCCGCATCTTCCCTCCCCCCTGCAAGAAAGACAGCAAGCGGGCAGTGTTTGCCATGCCAACATCCTCGACAGGGTGGACGCTGAAAGTTAAGTGATGTCCATGGCCCAGAAACCCTGGGCTATCACTCAACAGCCCCATGATCCAAGGCAACGTTTTGTCAAAGAGACTGTTAACTTTTGCAGGTAGGCTGGGGTGAGGGCAAGACAATGCTTTTAGGCTCTTTTTATGGGTACATCAGCCATTGTTGATCCTACACAAATCAACACAAGAAAACTCTCTCAAAGCCCCTGGGGGTGCCACTGAGGGAGCTCTGAACTATCTCCAGAACTCTCTCCAGCTTTTTGCATTTCTTGTTAGGTGCTGTGTGAGGAGAAGCGTGGGGCTCAGAGACAGGGCATCCACTGCAGGTCGCTGTCGGTGTATCCGGCCTCCTTGGCTGCCGCCCTCTCTAGAGATCTCACAGCCGTGCATCTTACCATAGCGATGAATCGGCCAATAAAGCGGAAGTAGGTGAGGTGGTCAGGGTTGATGGAGGAGGCAGGGTTGATCTGCAGGCAGTAATTGTTCTTCCCGGCATATTCAAATAAACAATACATGGGGTTGAGCACCTCATGGGACAGGAGGAAAAACCACTCCCTATGAGAGAAGACAAAGAAAAACAAGAGTAATGGATCCCTTCCTGCACAACTGCACTGTAGATGTGACTCTCTTCTGCTGTCCTGTTTTGGCTAGTTTGGAGACACGGGTCCCTGGGAGTCGAGCTCCACTGGGATGAACACCTGGTATAACCTGTATTAACAGCAGGTCAGTGAGCAAGGGTGAACCAGGACAACTGCACTTGTAGACAGTGCTCAGGAAAGCCTCGTGCATGTGTCTGGGCTCCCAGGTGATGCATTCCAGGACTTTACATCCGTTATCCAGTGTGGCTGATGGCAAAGGAGCTTTTGGTACCCCGAGGCCACCATGCACAGTTGTGTAGGCTGTGCATTGTACAAGAGCACTATGTTAAAATATCATAGATTTGCACGTTTATTACAATTTTCCTGCATACAGCAGTCAACCTGGTTTTTTTCTTATAAAACCAAAATATCATGACCATTTCCCAACATGGAAGTGTCTTGAGAAAGAGCATCTTTTCTAAATCTTGCAAAGGTGCTGTAGGAAACAGCTCCCCCCCCCACCCCGTTTCCACCCTGAGTAGGCAGCATGAAATGAATACACAGTAACATGTTCCTAGGTCCTGATGCATGAAAACTCTGTAATCCGTGCTGCCTCTAGATTACAAACCTCACTCCCATTAGCTATACAAAAGGTATCTCATTTCCCTTGCTCTTTGCCCTCCCCTCACCCTAGACCCCATCACCATACCCTTTCCCACACTTCCATGCATTTGTCTGAACCAACACCCATGCCCTGGCATCTCTTTGTGGCCTAGGTACAAGCCTCGAGCCAGAATTCAGGGTCCTTTCAGGCTTGAGCTAAACCAGCAGGGGGACATCCCAAGGGGGCCAGTCCCTGGCTGCTCGTGGCCGGGCAGACGAGGAGTCCTTCGATGCAGAGGGTGCCTCGGTATCCTGTCCGTGGTTCTACCCTGTGGTAGAACAGCATGACGTAACCTACCATAGGGTAAAACCACTGGCAGGACACAGAGAGACAGACACACACGGGGTGGGAGCCACACCACCAAGCAGAGCCTGGAGAGAAGGTCACCATGGTCACCACAGAAAAAGAGCAATTGATCCACAGGGGCCAACAAGGAGGGCAGGGCCACCAGCAAACAGAGGACCAGAAATAAGTGAACCCAACACCAAGAGAGATGTCCCCACACCATGAGAGGTCAGTGAGCTGAGCAGTCACCGCAGGCCAAGGTGCTCCTTCTCCCTGCCAGGGGACTTCAGCCCCATGATCCAAGGCAACGTTTTGTCAAAGAGACTGTTAACTTTTGCAGGTAGGCTGGGGTGAGGGCAAGACAATGCTTTTGGGCTCTTTTTATGGGTACATCAGCCATTTTAACTTTATTGACCCTATGCACGTGATGTGTAGTGAGTGCTGATCAAGGTCCTCTGGATGGTGACCCAACTTGCATGTGGCACGCACACACCAACACACCAGATTCAACCTGGCCCAGCTGCCTCAAGAACAGAAGCCCAGGGTCGATTTCGAACGGAAACCATAGGACACCAATATTTAACCACTGCCCACTGGTGCAGCCAGACTGGTTCAGGTACAGAAATCACACACCACCGTCCCTGTGAAGCGCCCAGCCTCTCCACAGACCAGTAACTCAAGGGTTAATGCCCAGCCCACAAGGGGACCCCAGGACGTGGACTGGCCCCACCCATGCCGACTCCTGAAGGTGCCTCAGAGTTTTGGGAACCGATCTGAGCAAGGGGGAGGCAGCTTTCTGGCCGCGAGCACTAGAGCCGGGGGAGACGGGGGGCAGCTCACCTGGCGATGCCCCCGTAGTCCAGGCCCTCCTCACCCCGCATGATGATGTAGAGTCGGCGGCGCAGGTCATAGGGCTTCATGTTCATGATCTGGGGAGACAGAGCATCGTGGCCAGCCTGCCACTCCCCGCTTCCATGGTGGACCGGGGGCAGGGGGCAGGGAATTCTAAGTCCTGCTCTTCCGCAGACACTTGTCACCAAGGCCCACACCCTGGAAACTCTACCATGTGGGGCTAACAGGCCACATGATCGAAGATGGGGTGGTGTGAGGGAGCCTTCTGCTCGCTGGGTCTTAGACACCATGATTATTCTCTAACCTGTTGGAAAGAATCCTCGAAAAGCGTCTGCCTGGAAACACTGATCTTCACATGGCTGGGGAGGGCATTTGACTGAAAAAGAAAAAAAAGGAAAAAAAGAAAACCAACCCCGAATCAGGACCTCAGTGGTCACTATTCAGTCGGGTCTCCTGTCTGTACAAACAGGCTTCCCCGTCTCCCTGGGCAAGTGGCGGAGAGCCTGGTACCCCAGAAATGGGAGCTGGTTGTCGGAAGACGATGTCTGACAATGCTCAGGGCAGGACAAGTAACCGGCCCACACCTGGGACGCAGGCATCTCAACACCTCTGCGAGACTGGGAAATCATGCCAAAGTAACTCGGTCAACCCCAGTGTCTGGGGGAGGTCCGGTCCCAGCACTCACGTGGCAGAGGAAACGGAACTGGTGATACTTCCACCGAAAACTTCGGTCGTAGGCACCAGGGGAACCTTGCTTCGTCCTGGGGAGAGCAAAGATGTTCTAGAACCCACGTGATTTCTCAAAAATTAGCAAAAGTTAGCCCTGAGGAAAGCTGATGTTATGTTAAAGACTAGAAAGGTGGGCATAAAAGAAAGGAAATAACTGGCATTTCTGTAGACAGATTTGAGAAGTAAAAACAAAAACCAGAAATAAAGCCAGACCTCTTGCTTTTAGAGAAAGACCACTAGTGTTATTCCGAATAAAGAGGACAGCCCCCCTCCCCACTCCTCCAGATCCTCCTGCCATCCCCTCTACTGTGACCCCAAAATTAGCCACCAGAGGGCAGTAAAAGGAGAAGGACAAGGATAAACCCGGACCTTGCGAACAGATACTAAGGTGGCCTGTGGGAAGTCCTTACCCAGACTCAAACCCTGGGCGAGGATCCTTAAAGGTGGTGGTGCGTGTATTGTGGTCCACAAAATAGCGTACCCCTTCACTGGTGTACTTCATCTCCCACCCCGGGGGCAAAGCTGGTTCCTGGATCATCCTGGAAACACAGGAAGAGAGGAGTTATGAGCCAAGCTCTCCTTCTGGGCCTCAATGCTTAGGAGGCTGGGGTTCCCCAACTGCTGCTTTCTCTCTGCTTTTACCCGGGCTCCGCACAGCCCTTGAGGGTGGCCCTTGAGGAAAGACACCTGGTACCACCCAAGTCATGAGGACAGTTCTGGAGCAGAGAGAGGTCATGTACCAGCTCTGGGTAGATGGCCGTGGCCTGAGTGGCCAACCAGCAATCGTGAGACTCCACACGCCGCTATCCTAGACTAGCTTCGGGAGGGTGGGGGTGCAGAGGTTCCTTCAAACCTCTTGAAATCACACTATTAGCAGCCTGCACAAGTGGCAGAGACCAGCGATACCCGCCAGTCGGGCCACTCTCTATCCATCAGGAAGGTCAATTTAAGAAGCCACGTTCAAGGCTCATTAGGCAGACACTATATGGTAAGAGTCTTGGGGTACTGGTGTGTAGCTAAAGATCCCAGAATATTGACCAGAGAGGACCAACGCAGGTCAGGGCACTTGGCCAACACTGGAGCTACACGGGGCCAACCCGGCCCAAGTCCTTACCCCTGGGTCCGAGGGTCCTCCCACTGGGTAGTGCGTGTGTTATGGTTCACGTAATACACCCGTCCATTGTCCTGTCTCTTCTCTGCCATGGGAGAAGAAAGAAAAGAGGACAATCAGCTTGAAACATCTGGAGCCCACGTCCACTCCCCTCTCCGGAGCACCGGTCCGAATTTCTGCTCCCATTCCCCACCTGTTAGAAAAGTTTAACCGCTGAAAGCCTCGCTCACTCACATCTCTCACTGTAAAGAGGACAAAGAGAATCTTTCCCTATTGGGGAGTGGGGGAAGGATAAACACATTTCCAACTCAAGATCCAGCACTGTCTTTGGTTGGTTGATTCGTTGGAGGGAAGGGGGCGGTGTGGCAACAGGGAAGGGGAGCAGCCCAGCTGAAACCAGAGGCCTAATTGCATCCAGCTGTGTGCAAAGTGGAGGCACGGCCAGGCTCCCCTCAACCCCGGTCCCCACCCCAGTCCCTCATGGGCTGGTCTCTGGTCCTGCCACTGCTCCATCCAAACCGGGTCACTGGGGGGGGTGGGGGGGGGCGGCTGCATTTTCCTTCATATCCTTTTGATCAGCGCTCTGTACCACAGGGCCTATCTACCGTCCACCTTATCTCTTTCCCCCTGCATAAAGGCAAAGCTTTGTTCTAAAACTCTCACATCTCAGCAAAACTGCTACACCGCACGTGTGCATTATAAATGCCTAGGGCTGCGGGCACTTACAATGCCCACTTGTTCCTACACCTAAGTGTGTGCTTCGAGCCACGGCAGTGTTTGGGGGTGCTCAGACATACTGCCCCTGTCCTCTGGACAATCCTTACTCTCTCCCCTCTCTTGGGGCTTGGGTGCTCACGGGTGGGAGTCTGGGCAGACCCAACTCTAGCTGGTGATTCCGGGCTTTGAGAGGTGTTGAGAGGGGTGCCCCATCAGGTCCAAGTGGATGACAGGCTGCGAACCCAAGTGAGGTCAGCTTTCCCAGGAAGTTCTTGAGCCTTCAAATCTGTTTCTGTCCCCCAAACAAATGCTGCAAATGGCCCTCCCTCTTTTACAATGAAAGGGCGAAATTAAAGAAATAAAAATAATTAGTTCCAGAAGTGAGGGGGAAACCAAAAGCTAAAAAAGGCACAGAACCGAGGAGCCCACTCCTCTCCCCTCAAGCATCAGGTTGCAACGTTCTCAGGAAAAACCCAGGGTCTTGGACTCTCTGCCTTACGTGGTATCCGTTACTTGACAGAAATTTTTAAAGCACAGACAAAAGGAAAGAAAGAAGATGCCCAAAATTATGACAGAGCCACGGTCACCTCAGCTCAGTTTATGGGACTGTCCCACAGAAGGCAGGCTTCCCAAGAAGGTTCTGAGGAAAAGGAGAAGCTGTTCCCATCCCAGAAGCTTCTGTTTTGAACTAGATCCTCTGTGTCTGCTCTGCCAAGGGTCAATCAAAGCCAATGCTAATCAACAGGCCAGGAGATCGGTCCAGCCGGCCTGGGGGCTATGCACTCGCTGCTGTGGGCGGAGGTGGGGGCTACTGGAACTGCCTCACTGCATACAATTTCATAGTCTGAGGGCTCAGAAAGTCCTGAAGTGAGCTTGCCTCCTTTGGGAAGAAGCAGATTTGGAAGCGTTTAGTCACATGTGCAGGGTCAAGGCAGCTGAAGAGATATGGATCTAAACCCAAGGTGTCCTGAGCCCTGGGTGTAGGGAGAACCGTGGGGTCTCTCCTGGAGGAGCAGAAAGGGACCTAGGACGGTGAGCAGGAGAGCCCAGTAGATTTGATCGCGGGCTCCTACTAAATGCAATTCTCACTCGGTTCTGCTGCTCTTCCTGTTCGCTGAACTCTCCTTGGGAAGGTGGCCCTGTCCCAGCCCTGAAAAAGCCAACACAGAGCCCAAAGGATCTGCTTAGGGAGGTTCCCTGGCCCTCGGCCGGATGTTCTTTCTTCTCAGTTTCATACGAATATAAGCTTGTGTGTTTTCCTGGTCGTATGTAAACACCGCTGACTTTGCCATGGCTCCTCTTCCCATCTCAGACATTCCACACTTGGCTTCTGGGAGCTCTTTTCGAGGCGCTAAAGCTGCTCTTACTTGGTGACCATCATGTAACAGAACCTGCACAGAAATCAATCATTTGACGCTATAGATCCACGAGCAACTCTGGGTCCCTGGCTCCAGGTCACAGCGTCTATTGGCTGCCAAACAACACCACGGATTCTTGCTTAATCTGAAGCGTTCTCCCCTGCCTCGCCTGGGATCCTGTGTTCGACTCCTCAGACTGGACTGGCTGCTGATCTCTGAGATACCAGGGACCTTTCATCAGTTCAAAGAGCCAGGTGGATGATCTGTGTGCGTAAGGGATTCCCTAGCTGAAAATCAAGAACTGTCTGGATGCCCCACTAACCAATATGTCCCCCTAGAAGGTCTACAAGGTCCTTCCAGGGCTCTGGAATGCAGTGGTAATGCACTAAGTGACACCCTGTGGGCCCAAGGAGGGGGGTGATGCAACCTGGTAAATTACTACCAGGGAGTAGTGTGTCTGTACCAGGGGGTTCCAGCTGAAAAGCCATACTTTTCCAGTTCATGCTTATCCTATCATCGTCCGCTTCTCCATCTTTACTGGGGAGCGTGCCCCTGCCCAATTTTATATCACATGTGCACACCACCAAATTAGCATCTACTGTCCTCCACCGGCCCAAACAATACATTAAATCCGACACCTGCTGATTCTTGCAAAAAACTGCCCTCTTCCACCCCCAGGGACTCTTTCTGTACTGGCTCAGAGCTGCAGAATGCACTGAGTCTCACCATCTCTCATGACCCCTTTGTGCATCATCACTCCTACCCAAAATAGCCACAAAGCCCATAATTTCTCCCAAGTCATACATGTCCCTCCTTCTAACTCACTATTGGCAAATCACACACCGGAGCTAAAATTCTCCAGTTGATGAGGAGAATCCAGCATGGTACTATTAACCAGCAACGATGCACTTTCACTGAGTTGCCACCCAGCACTCAACTCTCTCAACTGCTTCCCTCTGGCCTCTTTCACAACTGTGTCACAAAGAAAAAGGGTGGCTTTCTTTAGACAAAATTAGGCTGAAGTCCTCCAACATCTCAGCTGCAAAGAAAGTTTTGGTGGGGTGGCTCCTCCCAATCACACAGCCACAGACCTGAAACCAATGCACCAGCGAGTAAGCCGGCGCCAGAATGTCTTAGTCAATGACAGGTCGGATGGGTGGGTAGACAGTTCAAGGTCAGGACCAAAACCCAACAGTCCCATGGCCGCCCAAGGGCTCTGTCCGCAGGGTCACACTCCTTCAGCCATGGCGGGTGAATGCTCCAGGGGTGCAGGGGAACTCAACTGCCTTCCCAACCTTCCAGCTCCAACGTCTGTAACTGCTCAGGCTGGGCCTCCCCACGGAGCGTGCTGGCGAGAAGCGAAATGGGCAGCTGAGGGCTGGGAGTGAGGAAGCCGCTCAGGAAAAGACAACAGAGCACAGTGGGGCATCAGCTGACAGACGGCTGAGTACACGGAAGAACTCGGTACTTACCCCAGCCAGGAGGGAGGGGGCCCAGTGGGTCATGGTCAGTCGAAGTACTTGAAGACTAAACACAAGAAACACAGCAGAACACAGAGGTTAAAAAAAGCCGCCGGTTAAAAATAAGTCGATCGATAAAAATAAAAATGCCAAGGACTCGTTTTCATATTTGAGCACTTGGTACACAGGCTACAGTGGGGCCTGAGGTGACATCCCCTCCTCCCAGAAGTTTTTCTCCAAAAAGAGAAACCGAAAAAGAGCCCCCCACACGGAGGGCCCTGACAGGTTTTGGAGAGGGCGGAGCGAGGGGGAGGAAGATGCGTGCAGGGCAAGGTGGGCCAGGGCTGTGGAGGCAGAGAGCCGGCCCCAGGCCTGCCAGAAGGGCCTGGGCCCGACGGCCCCGCAAGCTCGGCCGGTGCCTCTGCTCTCGGCTCCGGCTCCCCGGCGGCCAGGGCGACTGAAATCACCACCACCTCCAACTTTCTCCAAGAACCACACACGGGAGGGGAAAAAATATCGCAGGCCTTTCCAATGAAATCATTCCCACAAGCCCTGCCCACGCCCAGAGCTTCCTGGCTGGGGGCTGGGCCCTCCTCCCTCCACCTCCCTCCTGGGTGCGCTGGCAGAGGGAGCAGCCGTGGTGTGCAGAACCGGCCCAGACTGAGGGCACATTCATGCCCCAGGCCCCTCACCTCCCCCAGGAATGTTTTGCTTCCCTTCACAAAGCACCTTTATTCTCCCCCAGCCTGAACCTGAAGTTGCTTAGTGTTCTGTGTGTGCCTGTCTGGGGAGGTGGGGCGGGGGCGAGGTGGCAAGCGAGCAGGAGAGACAGGAGAAAGAAGGCGGGGGGGGGGGCGGGGGGGGGACTCCAGGCCTTCAGGGCCACTGTTTACATTCGCACCCCCCCAGCCCCAGCCTAATTCTGCTGGGAGATGCCTGGGGCAGGGCTGCAGTGGACAGAGAGCTCTCATATCCTGCAGGGAAGGGGGCTGTTGTCAAACACTCTTCATAGTTAAATAAAACAAGTCTTGTTCCGTTGTTCCACACTTGCTTGCTTGCTCTTTTTTCTTTTCTTTTCTTTTTTGCTGAAGCATTTTTATTTCACTTACTAAAACTTAATCGTCGCATGAAGGGATCAAGTTCTCAGTGCAGACTTCGGGCTGCCCGGCTGGCTCTGTCTGGGGGCGACGGAGCCACACACGGGCAGGACGATGAATGGGGCTCAGTCTCGGCTTGAGAAAACATTGGTGGAACTCAACTGCCAACGCACACGCGCCCCCCGCTTCACAGCCGGCCCCCCGCCCCCAGCTGAAAGGACAGAGAAACTTTCTTTCCAAGGTGACAACACAAGCAACTCTTCCAAAGCAAGTTCCAACAGAGATGTTTAAGTCTGGAAACCATAGGTTCCTTGATGGGACAGAGCCCCCTTTCAGCAAAGGGCCACCTGCCCAGCAGAATGAAACTGCACGAAGGTGTGGGAAGCTGGGCTGTGCTCGATTTAGGGCCCCCGTTACCATCGTCCTAGAGGACGTGCTCAAACCACCACCCCAACTCAGATTTGTCTGATGGCTACTGAAAGGGAGCTCCCAGAGGTCATTCTGGTAAAAGTGCGGGGGGCGGGGGTGGGCTGCAGCATCTCCCAAAACCCAAGTTCCTCCAACCTTGTTAACACAGAAGAGCAATAGCTATAAAAAAACATTCGGGGGGCGCCTGGGTGGCTCAGTTGGTTAAGCGACTGCCTTCGGCTCAGGTCATGATCCTGGAGTCCCGGGATCGAGTCCCGCATCGGGCTCCCTGCTCGGCAGGGAGTCTGCTTCTCCCTCTCCCACTCCCCGTTTGTGTTCCCTCTCTCGCTGTGTCTTTCTCTGTCAAATAAATAAATAAAATCTTTAAAAAAAAAAAAAAAAAAAAAAACATTCGGTAACAGAAGGAAAGGAACTAACTTGTGAAATACACGTGCATTTCAGATAATGAAGCCAAAGAGAACTCAGTGGGTCATAAGCTGTAGCAAAAAGGAAGAAATACAGAAAAGGTCATTTTTAAAAAAATAAAAGAAGCATTCAGAGCGAAACTGTTCGCTGGTTCAAGTCTTTTTTTTTTTTTTTTTGAATGAGTGGATAACCCATTAAGCAGTCATGGGCTCCAGTGGGAAATTAGCTCCCAACTGGTACCAACTGGGCTTCAGTGGACTGATGGTCATCTTCTGCATAACTCGACAGATCAACAGACCAATCTTTACTGACAGCCTCCGTGACCCTCATTGAGCTAGAAACCAAAAAATATTTATCAGCTATCAAATATTTCCTTTTCCAACACCAGGGCACCTACAGTGTAGGCACAAACTTAAAGAACAGCCAGTCAGATGCTCCGACTCAGAACTTCCGGGTAACAGCAGGAAAGCACGGGGTCTGTTGGAAATGACTCACTGCTGTGGGAGAGTCCACAGTCCTCGGGAGCAACAAGGGTTTAATGGCAGCACAGCAGGGCAATGTCCTGCACAAACGATTCCTTTGCCCAGCCTACCCCTGGTTTCTGCCGGAGCTTGGTTCTTCATCATTCTGTTCATTCATTCTCATTTGGTAAATTCCTTTTTGGCCTAAGTTTAACCAAGTGGATTTCTATGATTCATCAAAATCAACTACAACTTGTATACAAAGCACAGGGAGGAGAATAAAAAAACTATCAACTCTTGTCTTTTTCTTTCTTTCTTTCTTTCTTTTTTTAAGTAGGCCCCATACCCAGCGTGGAGTCCAATGCAGGGCTTGAATTCCCAACCCCTGAGAACAAGACCTGAGCTGAGATCGAGTCCGACGCTTAACTGATTGAGCCACCCAGGGGCCCCAACCTTCTTCTTGATCCCTGCCTTTTTTTTAACTGCATACAATGTTGGCTCTCTTTCACTGTACTGTTGCTTTTTTAAAAAAATTTCTTTGGCATTGTCCTATTCTCATCCTATCAGATCCACACACCCCCAAAACCTGTGAAAAGGGGAATAGAAGAGGAAGCAAGAAGGAAGGGAAAGTGACCAGAGATCGGTAAGCATGAACAACGCATGAGAAGGAGTCAACGAAAGCTGACATTCACAACAATTTGACCGCTTGCAGTTAAAGCAAAGCACTTAACTATTTGGGACATTTCTTCCCTAACGTACATAGTACAACTTAAAAAATAAGAAAAGGAAGTGGACAGAAAGAAGCCAAAGAGAAACAAAAAATAAGAGCTACACACCATGACCTGAAAACCAAAACCCCAAATCTCCAGTAAGTCAACCAACTGCCCCTTCTCTTCTCCCACATTTCCCCTAAAATGAGTGATCCTAAGTATTGCTTGGAACACAGCCAGAGAAGCACAGAGAAAGGGGCATGGAGGGATTACAGTCGGAAGAAAGATCCCGGGATGTGCAGGTGACTCTCAGCGACAAGACAGTTTCCTTTACTAGTAGGAACAGAAAGCAACACTACTGAATTATTTTCCTGGTAACTGTCCCTCGCTTGGGACATCTGAGGTGCAGGCCCCGAGCCAGACAGCTCACGTTGAGTTCAATTCCCCCAGGGACTGAGCACTAAGTTCCAGTAATATTTTAAGATACAAACTCAGAAATAAAGAATGTCTAGCAAATACAGCCGACGGCAAGAAAGGCTCTGGGAAGGGCATAAAGGTTACTGTATAGAAGGCAGGCTCCTCTTTTAAGGATCTACCCCATGGGTGCAGAACAAAACCCAGGTGTTTGAGAGTTCAATCCAAGGGGCTCTCTGCAGAGTAAGAAATGAGACTTGTCTGTTTCTGGATAATGCAATGTGGCATCCACACATTAGGAGCCACAGAATGATCTTTTTCAGTCCTGAAGACACTGGCTACCTCCTTTGGTTCTTTTTTTTTTTTTAAGATTTTATTTATTTATCTGACAGAGAGAGAGAGACAGTGAGAGAGGGAACACAGCAGGGGAAGTGGGAGAGGGAGAAGCAGGCTTCTCGCAGAGTAGGGAGCCTGATGCAGGGCTCGATCCCAGGACCCTGGGATCATGACCTGAGCCAAAGGCAGACGTTTAATGACTGAGCCATCCAGGTGCCCCCAGACTGTGGTTCTTAAGGGAGGACCAAAGCTGGGGTAATGGGAGTGCTTTGGAAACAGGAGTAGGCACAATGCACTCTAATGGACGGACATCCCCATGGAACCGCAGCAGGATCACAGAAGAGCGGGCATAGCGAAACTGTGAGGGCAGAACACAAGTATGTACATGATGCTCACAAGAAACAAAGGCACGCTGGGGCATTAAGAAATGGAAGCATATCAGAAACAAGGGAACAATGGGCGCCTGGGTGGCCTCGGTCGGTTGGGCGACTGCCTTCAGCTCAGGTCATGATCCCAGGGTCCTAGGATCGAGTCCCATGTCGGGCTCCCTGCTCAGGGGAGCATCTGCTTCCCTCCCTCCCTCTGCCTGCCTCTCTGCCTACTTGTGATCTCTCTCTATGTCTCGGTCGGATAAATAAATGAAATCTTTAAAAAAAAAAAAGGAAGAAAGGAAGAAAGAAGGGAACAATAAGAGAAACTGAAAAACGTGTGTGATGAGGCAGATGGCAGGAAGGAACTGTGGGAGACTGTGATGTGGGGTTCCCCTGGCTTCCATCTTGAACTGCATTTCGTGTTCTCTCGAGAGCAAGTAGAGAAGAACGAGGTCTTGGTTTCAGCCCAGCAGCAGGAGGAGGAGGAGGAGGGGAAGCCGCTGGTACAGTATCAGCTCTTAAGTCTTCCGAGTCAAACCCTGGGCCAAGGCCAAACCCCAAAAGAACTGTATGAAAGCGACTCTTCTTACTTATAACCAAGACATGGCACCGTAGCAAACGAGGGGCAAAGCAAATCCAGGGGAGAGGGAAGTCAACAGAGCGACATTGAAAGCTGACCCAAAAAAGATTCCTAACACGTTTTTCAATATGAATCTTGTTTCACAGAGAAAAGGGAACAATCACCTCCATCCAGAACCCTCCTGAATCCCAGCCAAGCTGAGAAAACCAGTTTGGAGTACTCAAGAAAAAAAATGTTTCCTTCAACGGGACCCTCCAAGGTGAAGTTCAACCTCTGCGTGCCCGGGATGACGCTGCCAGAGCGATAGAGGTGGGCCAGAGAAGTGGATGTTCCAACAGACCAAGTGAATCTGACCTCCAGAACCTGCCCTCTCACACACCAAACATCTCAGTCAACCGACAGGACATATCTGGTGCATTGTAAAGCAAAAAAGATTTCTTTAAGAGATTTTTTTTTTTTTTTTGAAATTAGAGAAGCTGAGTAAGCAGGGAGACAAAATGATTGTGAGACTCCTAGAACGTGTCCTTGTCTCTAAGTCAAAAGCCAGAAATGCCCGGACCTTCCTAGTTTTATAGCCACGACCACCCAAAGAGTAGGTAAAGTCTTTGGGGCCTAGCTCTGGAGGAACAATTTCTGAAATGCAGAGAATGACTGGATTCCACCCAGGTTTGAAACATGCCAGAAGTGGATGCCAGGCAAGTGTGAAAGGGGCTGTGGAGTGCAAGCTGGGCATAAGAACCCCCAGGGCATGGATTAGAGACAGGCATTCCAGCTGACCTCAACACAACATAATGTGACAAACATCGTGCTTTCTGTTCATTCATACTAAGGAAACTGAGGTTCCTCATCAGTTTACTCGCTATATGATGAGCATCAGCCCCCACAGAGAGGAGAGGAGACAGGCCTGCCCAGGGGGATGACACCATCCTCTATGATTGATGGTGTAGCTCCTGCTTTGGGTTAGCAGGGAAAAAGCTGCCAACAAAGTTGATAATGAATGCTACTTGGTTAAACGGAATTAAAGATTTTCTGAGCATCTAACTAGGAAAGTATCTAATTTAGAAATGGGTTGTGGGCTTAGAGTTTATTTCGAATAGAAATAATGTTGACTAAGCACGGGTGATTCAATGTTGTGGACCAGGTCAAAAAGTTTCCAGCCTCTAATCCACCACCTGCTCTAATTCTAGGCAGATCCCAAGCTTCATGTTCAAGGTGCCCTGAGAATATGCAGAGTTCCAGTTTGGGAATCCTCCTATCCCTACCAAAGAGGCTGTGTGCCTGGGTTCCACCAGCCACCAGGTCACTGGTGGAGGCTCTAATGGGATGGAAGGTGAGGCTAGGAGGGCTCCTGAAGGGACACAGTACAGGAGGCCATTAGACGGTTAATCTGGGACCCTAGCACTCTGAATTCTGTTAAGTAGGAAATTTAAATGCTGTTCTGTCGATAATGACTACAAAAAGCTTCAAGCCACTGATTAAAACAGCAGTGATAGGGGCGCCTGAGTGGCTCAGTCATTAAGGGTCTGCCTTCGGCTCAGGTCATGGTCCAGGGTCCTGGGATCAAGCACCGCATCGGGCTCCCTGCTCCATGGGAAGCCTACTTCTCCCTCTCCCACTCCCCTGCTTGTGTTCCCTCTCTCGCTGTGTCTCTCTCTGTAAAATAAATAAGTAAAATCTTTAAAAAAAATAAAAATAAAAAAATAAAATGGCAGTGATAAATGCAGACCAAAGCCCCTCTTCCTTAAATCCTTCACAGTGACTTTTAAAAAGTGATCAAGTGACAGTGACATCTGAAGACCACTCTGCTGGGAACAGGCAGTACAGATTGGAGAAGAGGCAATGCCAACAGAGAGAACAACTCAGAGGCTGCCCTAACTGCTAAGTTGGAAGGGACAGAGCAAAATTAGGAATCAGAGAGAAGGAAGTTGAACTAGATCAAGGGTCAATAAACTTTTTCTTCTACGGGCCAGACAGTAAATATTTTAAGCTTTATAGACTATATGGTCTCTGTTATAACTACTCAACTCTGTTGTTACAATGTAAAAGCAGCCAGAGTCAATATCTAAACTACTGGGAGTGCTTCTGTGCCAATAAAACTTTATTTACAAAACAAAGTGTGGGCCAGTCTGGCCCATGGACCATAGTTTACCAAGCCCTGATTCACATCAATTTTAAAGTTCCCTCTATCCTTGAGAATCTGTCAAACAAGAAAGATCTAAAGAAAAACAATAGCAGCAATGAAAAGGATTTGGGTGGCTGTTTTGTTCTGAAAAGCTGAGGTACGGGAGAGATCACAGCTGACCTTCAGGTTTCAAATTAGAAATGAGCGTGGAAGGAGGGGCCAGGAAAGAGATCCAGTCTCGGAAGAAAGACGGTAAACTGGGTTTCAGGTATCTCGATTCCTTAAACACGGAGGCTAGACAGTGAGTTGCTAAATTAGAAATAATGGAATTTGAGGAATTTCACGGCGATGCATAAAATCTCCAGAGCACTGATGTTTCGAGCCACGGCTTTCCCCGTTCACCAAACAGGTCAACGGCTACTGTGTGAGGAAGCACATTCTCCAGCGCCAGGAGGCTCCACACCGTCGTGGCGAGCCCCTGCCCTCTCACCTGGTAGAGGAATCTTTGGCTGAAGTGCTGCATGGCGCCCTGGAGCTGATTGCGCTGGGACTGCCACTGCTCGTAGTTCCGCACGTACTCGGCTGTGGGGCGCTGCCAGGTGGTGGTCCGAGTGTTGTGATCCACATAGTAAAACCTGCCTCGGGGGTCTGTGCGCTTTTCCCAGCTGGAAACATCAAGCTCAGAGTGAATACAGTTACCAAATTCCAGAGAAATCTCAGGGTGGCTGGCAAGGAGGGACTGAGGGAGGGTTAAGCATGGGGTCGGGGCAGGCAAGCCCCAGTCATGGAAGCTTCTGGGGCTTACAGGATTAAAGCAGTCATTTGTGGTTGCCTCCTCACCATTAGCTCCTGATTTCCATTTAGGAGATCCATGTTGTTCTGGGGAAGGTGACTCTACTCCCAAGTGCAGAAGTAAGCAGCTGACTGGATCAGGAGTGGGTATGTGACCTATGTTGAGCTTAATCAGGGCAAATCTTATGACTTTTGCTAGGAATTCGAGGAAAAACATAGTCTCTCTTCCTTGCCAGGTATGACTGAGAAAGCATGCAGTCCTAGGAGGCACTGGCTGCCATCTTGGACCCAAATACAATATGATGTTGACCCAACAGATGGCAGAGGAGAAAGACAAAACAAAAAAAAAGCCAGCCCCTTGGTGATACTTTCGAGTCACTAGATCAGGCTTCACTTGAAACCAGGATCTACATCTAGAATTTTCAGTTATATTAGCCAGTGAATTCTCTTCATTGTTTAAGCCAATTTGGATCCCAATTTTTGTTACTTGCAACAGAAATCATCCTGATATAAAGTGCCAGTGAAAACATGTTGCATGGTCGTGAGAAGAAGAGTTGGTATGGACAACAGCAGGATTCTCTACAGTATTTTTAGTGAGAAAGCAACCTTTCCAAAGTACTAAAATACCTAAAATACCCATGGGCAAGGCAAATCTAGAACAGATGGTAAAAATCTTCAACTGTGCTTGGTAGGTATAACTTGATTTGCACACACTGAGGGAAGAAGTGATCAAAAGAAAGTAAGAGAGGGAACTTTATGGAATGATGGAAATGCTTTAACATTTTGATATAGTGAAGGACACGAATGTATGCATTTGTCAAAACAGCCAACTATGTACCTGAGATCTGTTTATCTTATTGTACATAAATCATACTTCAATTTTAAAAAGTGAATTTGAATCTAATCATGCCTCCATATCTAACTACCAGTTTACAGGGAAGACAAGGGATAGAGGAGCATGTTACCCAACACCTCAATGTCACATCAGTTACATCCAGAATATGAGAAATTCTACAAATGCCAATGATCTTCAAGAAATAAATGGTCAGAAAAAAATAAGAAAAGGTGAGGAACTTACAGATTAAGAGAGACTTATGAGACATAACAGCCAAAAGCAACATGATGGTCTTGAGTTTGAATCTGACTCAAATCAACTGTAAAAACATTTTTAAGACAATTGGGGGAAACGGAACACGGACTGGGTATGACATGAAGGAAATACTGTTAATTTTGTTGGGTGGGATAATGGTATTTTAGTTTAGTTTTTCTTTTTTTAAAGTAATCTCTACACCCAACATTGGGCTCAAACTCACAACCCCAAGATTAAAGATTGCATGCTCTACTGACTGAACCAGCGAGGCGCCCCTAGTTTTGTTTTTTTTTAAACCCTTATCTGTTAGAGATGTATGTGATGAATAATGGTTCAAAGTATATGACATCTGGGATTTGCTTTAAAATTTATCAGTCCCCTCCCTTGAAAAGTGGAAGGTCAGATGAAACAAAATGTTATTCACTGTCAGAACCAGGTGGTGGTTACAAGGGATTCATTGTACTACTCTCTCCAATTTGGTGTATGGCTGATGTTTGCATCATAAATTTGAAAGGGGGACAGGGACAAAAGGGGCTTTAAAAAGATAATAGATACCAATGAAGAAAACAGCATTAACCCAATACAAAGGGAACCAATATGGATTACACCGTATGTGTTGGAAAGTCTTTGTTCCCTAACTATCTTCTCATTTATTTCATCTTCTCCGAATCCCTATCTTACTCACATGGCTACCATGCTTTGGTCTGGTACCTTCCTCAATTTTCAGGGTCAGCTTCTTAACTGACTTTTTTTGGCCACCTCTTCAATGATTCTTTTAACTCAAAGCCTCTTTAAAAATGGCTTCTCTTTAAGGAGTTCCCAGTCCCGATGGCTAGTGCCCACCCTGTGTCTCGATTCTGCCTGCTAGACTGCTTTGCCTTCACGACTTACTGTCACTTTGGACTCAACTAAATGCCACAGCTCTCTCCCTAAACCTGAGTCTTCCCCAGTCTTCCTCCCGCTAGTCCTCCTCCCAGGGGTGAAGCTACCCCCATCATTCCTGACGCTTCCCTTCCTGCTGATGTGAATTAACCATTCACCCCAAGGGCTTCTTAAGGTTGTCACCTGCCCTTGACTTTCCATTTCTCTGTCCAACTATACAGGAACAAATCTCCCCACTCTGAGCCAGCCTATAAATTGCCATGGGGATAATCACACCAGAGTGCCCCACCCCCGCCCGCTTGTGCGTGATGCTCCTGCTCAAAAACTTCAACGGACTCCCCACCACCCTTAAGTCAAAAACCCAAATTAGTATTCAAGGTTCACAACAAACTGGAACCTTCCCACCTTTCTCATAGATCCTCTCAACGAGTGATTTTTTTCTTTTTTTATCAAAGGAATCATGTATCAATAGTTTAAAAATACAAATAGTTCTAAAGGAGGTACAATAAAAAAATAGCATCTCCTTCCCTACCTCTCCCCATTGCTGATTCCTGCTCCTCAGAAACAACAACTTTCAATTCTCAACTGCTTCTTCTATTTACAGCCATGTTTCTGAATAACATGCTTCTTCTATTATGTCTTGATTTCTGTCATATGAGACGTTACTTGTGAAACTTCCACTGTCAGAGCTGAGCATTTATTATATCCCACCCCACAAGACACACAGTGCCCTCTCCTCCCTCAAGACTCCCAATGTAAAAAAATCATCAACTCAACATTCAGAGTTTTTATTATGGCTTTGTAGAATACTAGAAATACATTTCCTTACTTGTACAACTTTTTCTTTTTTTCTGAAGTTAAAGAATTATGTATTTCATTCTGCTTGGTTTTCAAGAACCTATCACTACTGCCCTGCCAGATTCTCGTAGCACAGGTGGCCTTTCAGTGTGAGTTAGATGTGCCTAGCCATGTCTCTCCAAGCACACTTCGTCCTATGTGGACACCTGTCCTCCAGGCCAGCTCTACATCACTGTCCTGAGTCATCTTCCCTCACCTTCCTCTTGGGAACATCTTTGGCCCCTGAATGGAGTCCCCTATGTCCTGCATCTCATGACTTCTTTCTTGGTTTCCTCTCATCTGGTAGAACAAATCATCTAGTAGCTTCTGAGAAAGAATGCACCAGTGAATTGTTTGAAACACTGAAGATACCTTAATTTCAACCCTCACAGTTGAGTGTGAAGATGACTAAGAGTTAGGCGCCTGGGTGGCTCAGTTGGTTGGGCGACTGCCTTCGGCTCAGGTCATGATCCTGGAGTCCCGGGATCGGGTCCCACATTGGGCTCCCTGCTTGGTGGGGCGTCTGCTTCTCCCTCTCCCGCTCTCCCCTCTTGTGCTCTTTCTCTCTCATTCTTTCTCTCAAATAAATAAATAAAATCTTAAAGAAAAAAATTGTTTTAAAGATGACTAAGAGTTGATTTCCAGACAGGAAATAATTTTCCATCAGAATTTTAAGGATCCAGCTCCATAGTTGGCTGTTGAGACAAGAAATGGCATTCTTGATTCCTGATCCTTGATATGTACCCTATTTTTACCTTCTGGAGGCTTCTGAGATGTTCCCTTGTCATCCTAAAATTTCACTAGAATGTGCCCTGGGGTCACTCTTTTCCTATTCTCTGGGTTGGGCATTTGGTAGGCCCTTTGAATTTGAATACTTTACCTCTCAATTCTAGCAAAATCCTTTCATTCTTTCCTTGATAATTTTTTATCCTCTATTTCTAGTTCTTGCTAGAACTATTCATGAATGATGTTGAAGCTCCTAGACTCATCCTCCAATTTTCTTATCTCCAACATTATCTTTCAATCCTGTAATTTTTATTTCTGCTGTTATATATAGTTGACCCTCGATCGGCAAGGGTTTGAACTGTGGGGGTCCACTTACATGTGGATTTATTTCAATAAAAACAACACAGTACTGTAAATGTATTTTTCTTCCTTATGATTTTCTTAACACTTCCTTTTCTCTAGCTTACTTTATTGTAAGATTATAGTATATAATACATATAACATACAAAATACTTGTTAATCAATTGTAAGGCTTTTGGTCAACAGTAAACTATTAGTAGTTAAGTTTTGGGGGAGTCAAAGTTATATCCATATTTTCAACTGTGTAGGGGGTCAGCTCTCCTAACACCTGGGTTGTTCAATGGTCAACTATATATTAATTTCTAAAAGGCCTTCTTGGGATGCCTGGGTGGCTCAGTTGGTTAAGCACCTGCCTTCAGCTCAGGTCATGATCCCAGCGTCCTGGGATCAAGTCCCCCATTGGACTCCTTGCTCAATGGGGAGCCTGCTTCTCCCTCTGCCTGCCACTCCCCCTGTTTGTGCGTCCTCTCTCTGACAAATAAATCAATAAAATCGTTTTAAAAATCTAAAAAAATTAAAAATAAAAATAAAAGGTCTTGTTTCCTGCATGGTCCATTTTATGGTCTCCTGTTCTTGCACAGATGCCATATTTCCTCCCAAATTTTTGAGGATATGAATTATAATTCAGTTTCACCTTCCACATTGTTTTCACCAAGTCCCTCTTTCTCTGTCTGCTGGTCTCAGGCTGTTCTTTCACATTTAAAAGTGAGTCATTAAAATGCTGAATGGACGCTCTGGGTATCCAGGTCGGGGTGGGCTGACCAGTGGCTTCACTCCGCTGTTTGACTAGAAGACCCCCAAATAGCACAATCTGTAGTTCTCTTCCCTTAGACTGGTCACTTTATCCAGAAAAAAACTCCAATCTTTAACTTGGGGACAGTACCCTCGCTTAATCCCTTTTTCTCTGAGTTCATCTCCGCCTCCCGCTACGGCTGGAGCCCACAGGCCAGCTGTGCATGTCCATGTGTGGGAGAGGCGTACACGTGTGCAGGCAGGCATGTGACAGTGGGACGCAAGTGACGGTTGACAACCTGAGAACGTAACTGCTCCCTGCACAGATTTTTGACTTACCTTAAGGGTTTTTAAGTCTCATTACACACACACACACACACACACACACACCACCCCAATGTCTGATTGCTGAGGCTTTCCAGGTCTCCGAGCTGCAAACTGGCTGGCTTCCCAGGGGATACCCACACTGCAAGCTTGGGTTTCAGCTTTCTCAGCTCTGCCATTTATCTATCAGCAACTAAACTTTGATTACCATCTCCCATATGCTGCTTCTCCTCTTCCACTCCTTTATCATTATACTTTTATTGCCATTTTAGGGGGTTTTGAGAAAGGAATGGAAATAAACATATGTTCAATCCACATGTTTAACTGAAAGTCCTCTGCACTGGTGAATTTCAAACTTCTAAGCAGCGTAAGCCTACCCTTGATTCCGGGTGAATCTTACAAAGATTGACAATCTATAAAAACAGAGCAATGGTTGGAGGCCCAGTGAGCCCTTTTACTCTCTCCACTTCCAGCAGGCATGTCCGCTGCACCCAGGTGCCTTGCTAGACACACTCTGAGCATCTTTGTTTCACATAAACCTTCTACCCCAGCAAAACTGCTCCATGAATCATTCCCTACAGATATCTTTTACATTCACACTGTTCTCCAAACCTGGATCAACTTCCTCTTGTCATTTAAGTCCATCTCCAGCATTTCCTGCAAGACCGAGTTTGAGCCACCTCCCTCTGTGCTCTATGGAGAGCCCTCTCCCTGCTCACCTCTGGTCTGAGCACCACCTAAAAGCAAATTACTACGTTCATCTTTAGTTACCAGGGCCAATACTTTTTGTTCCTAGATAAAAAATGACCATTTCGGGGCACCTGGGTGGCTCAGTCGGTTAAGCATCTGCCTTCAGCTCAGGTCATGGTCTGAGGATCCTGGGACTGAGCCCCACACCATCGTTGGGCTCCCTGCTCAGTGGGGAGTCTGCTTCTCCCTCTCCCTCTGCCCCTCCCCCTGCTCGTGCGCTCACGCACACTTTCTCTCTCTCAAATAAATAAATACAATCTTTAAAAAAAAAAAAAAAAAGACCATTTCTCATACAAGCATTCCCTGGCTCTAACAGAAGGGGGGTGGCCATGATGAAGTGAATCCTTTGGCTCAATCTCACTCACTCCTGGATGACTAGGTCTGCTGAGATAATAGCTCCATCTGTAGTTTCACGTGTGATGTGTGAATGGTAATACTCCCCTGGGGTGGAACTTCTCCTACTAGTTAGCGATGAGAGCTGAAGCACTCTGTTCTCTCTAGGCTCCCTGTTACAGAGCAGAAGTACCTGCCAGGGGCTCAGAGGTCTGTGACCAAAACTCAGTAAAAACTAATAGACTAGGCCTGGGTGGCTCAGTCGGTCAAGTGTCTGCCTTCGGCTCAGATCATGATCCCAGGGTCCTGGGATTGAGCCCCGCATTGGGCTCCCTGCTCCGTGGCGAGCCTGCTTCTCCCTCTCCCTCTGCCTGCCGCTCCCCCCTGCTTGTGCTCTCTTCTCTCTCTCTGTCAAATAAATGAATAAAATCTTAAAAAAAAAAAAAGAACTAATAGGCTGAGCCATCTCCCAATAAGACATTAAAACTGTCCTGAAAGTAAGAAAGCTGGATCTAGTGTCCCACCTCAATACTTAAAGAAGAATCAATCCTCGGCCATTCTTAGAAGACACCATTAAATATCTTCATTTAGATTCCATCCAAATGTTCACGAGATCAAGGCCTACATAATTTATAGACCAGAGAGGGTAAGAGGGAGCAACCAGAACACTTCTAGAGTTAAGGCTGCTTCTATTTGTTTTTATTATTTTAATTCAGTTAATTAACATATAATGTATTACTGATTTCAGAGGTAATGCTGCTTTTAAATATATGGGCTGTCAACACAAAAAGTACAAGTGTAAAATGCATCCTGTTAAAAATCAATGATTAATTTGCAAGACATTGGAGAAATTTGACTACTGACTAGGTATTCGATGACAGCAAGGAAATACTGTTAACAATACAGTGGTTTTGCTTTCAATAAGAGAGCACTTTTTAGAAATACATATCAAAATATGGATAAAATTATATGATGCCTGGGATTTGCCTCAAAATGATCTAAGAAAGGGGGAGAGGGCCGGGTGAGGATTAAAGATCAGGAGTCGGCAAATTTTTTCTATAAAGGGCTACAAAGTAAATGTTTTAGGCTTGACAGGCTATACAGTCTATGTTGCAATTACTCAACTCTGCGATGAGCATGAAAACAACCATAGACAATAAGTATAAACAAATGAGTATGTCTGTGTTCCAATAAAACTTTATAAAGACAGGAAGAGGTCGGATTTCGTCCACAGGCTCATAGTCTGCCAACCTCTGGTATGGATGAAACAAGACTGGCCATGAATTGGATAATTACTGAAGCCAAGTGTTGAGTATGTAGGGATTCTCTCTACTTAGTGCATATTTGAAATGATCCATCATAATAGGAAAATTTCCATAATTTCCAAAGTAAAAAGTTTGACTTTTTTTTAAGAAGTCAATATTTTACTTTGGTTAAATATGTAAATAAATATTCTGGACTTAAAGTAGAAAACAGAATGAGGACTAATGATGACAGATTATTTCATTTCCAGAAGGGTAAGGAAAAAAAGGAAAACACAGCATTCTCCCAGAAAACTGAAACTAAAAACAGCCCATCCATGGAAATTTGTAGGACCAGAAGGTGAGGTGGTATTTGCCTGGCACATACCTGACCGCTGAACCAGAGTACAAGGGTTTTCCTGATACTCCCCACATCTGACATCCTCTCCCTCTACAAACTTGGTGGGGAGGTGTCCATATGTTCTGCAGGAGCCCTTCATGACTGCTTTACTGGGAGATGATTCTCTCCTGAGAGCAGAATACATTCTCTTTTGAAAGCTCTCAGGACCAAAAGGCGCATGTGGAAAGAACTTTCTGTCCCTGGCAAGCAGGGAACCAAACCCCTTCTCCTTGAACTTGGACAATCTTCCCTCACTTGGAAGCCTCACTCATCCTCTGGTTTTAGAGAACTTAGCTTCGTTCTCACAAAGCCCAGCTGAACAAGAAGCACCCTTCAGGGGCCGATTGGGCATAGGATGCTGTGAAATGCATCAGCACCCTTTCTATCTTGGCTTCCTCGTGTCTTTTTTCCCCAGAGATGCTCTAAAAATCCTAGGATGTCCTAAGAAATGAGAGGAGAATTAAGTGAATAGGCAAAGCAATCAAGTGACCAGGGAAAAACATCCCTGTACTTTGCTACCTCTGCAGAAAGAGAATGAGAACCCGGCTCTGATAGGGTACCTCTGTAGGTGAAATAACTGAGGGCATCAAGATACCAATGGCCCAAGAGGCAGGATTCCTAGCTCTCTTTCCTCCAGGACCCAACAGCCAAGGTAGTTCTGAGTATCACTTACCAAAAAGCCCATGGCCATCAGTCATAGCCAATACAGTGAATGTGGGGAGAAGGGAAAATAAAGAGAAGAAAGAATGTAGAAGGAGAAGACAATGGAAGGGGGGAAAAGAGAGGGAAAGGAGCAGAGAGTAGAGGGAACTAAAGAGATGGCTACGGCAGTGTTGGTAGACAAGCCAGTGGGTGACTCTTGGTGCCAGTTCTAGAGTCTCGGGGCTTGCCAGCCCAAGCCTTACCCTGGAGGAAGAGGCCGCTCCCAGGTGGTGGTCTTGGTATTATGATCAACATAATAGACACGCCCATTAGGCAGCTCTCGCTGTTCCCATCTGAAAAATAAAGTCAAAGGAAGCATGAGCTACACGGCTGAAAGGCATAAGCCCTTGTTTGAGGAGTCCTTTGCTACTGTGGCAACTTTAAGAGGACAAAGATGACATATGAGACCAGCCCAGGGGTCAAACCAGCTCCATGCTATCACTGACAAGTGGCACCCAGGAGTACTTCTTGAGAACAAAAGCTCCCCTTTATGAAGTCAATGTACTAGAATATGCCATGGATCACTCTAGCTTCTCCTAAATGACCCATGTGAAGCTACATTCTATGGACTTTTCCAAATCAGTGTTTCATGGCCATTTCAGGATCAAAGATCCCTTTAGGAATCTGATGAAAGCCAAGGACACTTTCCTTCCCAAGTGTACTTACCAACAAAAATTTGTATGTAATTTCTGGGCTTCACAGACCTCACCCAAAGTTAATCTAGGGACCCTCCAGCCTTTGTAGCCTACACTACCTTTTAAAGTCACAAATTATAGGATATCCCTATTCTCCCAGCATCAAATATATTCATGATCACATTTCTTTTTAAAATATAAGATTCATTTACAGAGGATCTTTAAAAGAGATCTGGGTGAATCAAGAAATGCAGCATACTGTTATTTATTGACTACTCTCCTCATACTATTTATTGACTTCTCATGAGTCTGTGTGTAAGTTAATATGAGATAGGGGTGCCGAGAGTGGCCATTCTGTGCTAATGGAAGAACAAGGTAGCAGACGATCCAAAGAAACAATCTACAAGCAGATATTTTGGTATCTGCTTATACAGCCAAGGACCACCCACTCCCATACTCCTATTATTCCCATACTCAACGCAGTCTAACAATAACTCCACTTACTCAGAACAGAGTAGTCCATATATAAAGGATGCAAATTTTTATATTTATAAAATGATCACCACTTTATAAAGGATGTTAATGGTCCCATTAGCCTTTATGTTTTACATTGATTTCATTCACTTCTACTTGTGGATACTGCCTAGGGGAAGGTAACCTTTTCCAGGAAGTTAGTACAGTCAGTTCTGCTGAAATGCTTGTTTTGAAAACATAAATCTTTCCCAACGTGATTGATACATGAGGGAACAATGTGAGCATAATGTGAATTTTGGGTTTGCTTATGCATGACTTTTCCTTTTAGAAACACGAAATGCATAAAGACGACTTCCCCTAGCTGACTCAGTCATGTAGGAATACACAAAGCCCATGTGCTTCTACCAGCTGCCTCAGTTTATTACATGCTGTACACCATCCTCACCCACATCTGGCGTTACCACTCCCGTTTGATTTCAGATAGCCCTTCTTGCACCACTTTGCGACAACACTCACAAGCTCAAACTCTTCAGACACCCGCTTCCACAAGCACACTTCAGGTCTTTTCATGGAAACACACTTATTGTAGTGTTATGTATCTCAACCATTTAACATGTGTAAAACTGTGCTACCATCATTATTAGGTTCCTATTTTTCATTTGTGTCACTGACACATTTTTTAAAAGATTTTATTTATTTGAGAGAGAGTGAGAGCGATCACAGAGGGAGAGGGAGAAGGAAACTCCCTGCTGACACAGGGCTCGATTTGAGGACCCTGAGGTCATGACCTGAGCTGAACGCAGATGCTTAATCAATTGAGCCACCCAGGCACCCCTGTCACTGACACCTTTTTGGATGTTATACCCCTAACCCATTCTTTTCCTGTAAGCCCTGTAGCTTTTATTGCATAGTTTTTTGTGGTTTGTTTGTTTGTTTGGGTTTTTTTTTTTTGCACTGCGTGGTCATTTTTAGGAACACGTATGTAAGAGCAGAGCAGACTGAATACTGAAATAAATGTCCTAACTTCTATTACTAAGCATGGTGTGGCTATTCCAATGGACATTAGCTTTATTCAATGCTGTTTCTCATTTAAACCAAAATATCTGATCAGCAGCCTGCACTGATCAACACCTCAGAGGCTGGTTCAGATACAGATATACATGAGGCTTTTAAGGCAAGAAAAGGAAGGAGGGCACCATCACCCTCTGAGCATCTATAATGAGCTATGGGCTCATGTTCTACTAAAGCAGTCTTTGCCTCCATCCTTTAAGGTGGTATATGCCATCACCGTGGGTGAAACTGAGGATCAGAGAAGCTAAATAACTTTTATGTGTCATTCTAACTCAGCTCTGACTCTCCAGCTAGTGAGTTTTACCAGAACATGCTGAAAGGAAGAAATGTGGAAAAGGAAGGTCGACTGGAATTTATAGGGAACCTACTACCCAGAAAACAAGGTGCCAGGGGCCTTCCCAATCCCCATCTCAAAGTGAACAGCACTGGAGTCCAGGGAGGGGGCCCTGTAGAATCAAGACAATGGGGGAGTAATTACAGTGGGTCCACTGTGTTCATCTCTAGGCTCCATTTTAATCATAACCCTCTGCTCCGAAGTGATCTACCAGAAGAGGCTGCACATTTCACACCACTGGGAGGGTTAGCCCTGGGAACAGTGAGGTCCAGTGGTTCCACAGTCCCACCTCTCAAAAGGGATCGACTACTGGCTGGAGGGCCAGAGTGCTACCTAAACCGTTAACATGTGCTCGAGAACATCTTCTCTCCTGGGTATTCTTGCTCAAGGTTCTGGTTAAAGTGGATATGGGTGACTTGACCCAGGTGCCCTATTTCCTCCCATTGCAAAAAGAAGATCCTTAACACTTCACTGTTTTTTATTAAAAGGGCAGCATATTCTGCCAAAAGTGACCAGATGAAAATGTACCCTGGGTGAAAAGTTAAAGACTTTCACCCTCTAGATGCCCTTCTGAATCAAAGACAAAATAGTAACAAATATTACCAGCTCGAGAGGCTGGTATTTCATCTATGGAGAACCTTTCATGTGAGGACCTCTCAGCAAAAAAGCTAGGCTAACATATCATGGCTTCACACCAGATCCTCAAACTCCTCCCGTCTGCCTGGGAATAAAGCAGCATATCTGATACCCTCTTTATTCATCTGAATTTGGAAAGGAGATAGTCTTGAGAAAGATACTTGGCTTACGGGTTAAGTACTGAAATATGGAAGCTGCTCAAGGAAATGGCAACAAACTACTCTTTCATAACATTTGCTCCCAGGAAGGCTTAAGCGGCTGAGAACTCCTTAGCATTCCCTGAGAAGTTAGCTAGCTCCTTCCCTTCCTTGGCCATTTCTGGCACAAAAGCACCAATAAAACAAGTCAGCTCATTCTGTAGTCACTATTTGGAAACGTGTCCATAATATGTGGATAAGGCCACACCTTTTAAAAAAGACAAAATATTTGTTGTAGCAATTGCAGATAAAAGGTGCCAAACACACATTTTTCTTTATTCCAAAAATTCTTTTGTTACAACTTTCATCTTATAAGTAGTCTCTGCTTTTATAATTCATTTCAGGCGAAGAGAAAACTTTGGTTTTGTTATACTTTGGCTGATATTTTTTTTTTTAAAGATTTTATTTATTTTTTGACAGAGAGAGAGAGAGGGAACATAAGCAGGGGGAGTGGGAGAGGGAGAAGGAGGCTCCCCGCAGAGCAGGGAGCCCGATGCGGGGCTCGATCCCAGGACCCTGGGACCATGACCTGAGCCGAAGGCAGATGCTTAACGACTGAGCCACCCAGGCGCCCCTATACTTTGGCTGATATTTTAATTTGAAGACGGGATAATACTTAAAATTCCATGAAGTCAATGTCTTTAATTGACACAGTGGTATTCCCACACGCTGGCAGAAAGAAAATCGGTGTGAAGTCCTCTTCACTTATATTCAAAAGTTACAGCAGCTCTTTCCAAGCCCGGATAAGATCTGTCCATCCCATCTTTGATCCCAGCTGATCCTAGAAATGAAAGTCTCTCTTTCAGGGACTGTTATTGTCCAGCAAATCTCCATGTCCTTCTGTGAACCCTCTCAATTGGCGTAACTGGAAAAACAGTTACCAGAGGAACAAGACCTTTCTTGCATTACCTTTTTTGATATCTACATTTTTTTCCTTTTACAATTGGCCTCCTGCTCAGATTAAATGTCCGTGTGGGTCCTCCCTGATCCATGACCTGGCCTAACTGCTTTTCTTAGAGAACTCTCGACTCCTCCCTTACCTGCACGGCTCCTCAGAATTCACACAAACCTCTTGCCTCCATTCACTGCAACACAGTCGGTCAATTCCAGCAACAATCAAAAGAGCCTCCCAATTCTCCTGCCTCCTCAGTAGCTGCTGACCCACATAGATTAAGCCTTCCGACTGTCTTGGTTTGGTCTCCCCATGCCAAGAAAGTGATACTAGCGGCGACCTTTCATCAGCACATCCCTGTCAGGGGTTAGGTTTCTGTCCCTTATAAGCATCTTCTTCACACTGAGATAAAAAGGCTTTTCAATCACACTACCCATGGGTCTCAATACTGCATCCTGGTCACATGGTCATATCCTCTCCCACTGAATAGCTTTCTTTGATGCTCTCAGGAACAGTGTTCAAAGCATCAAGCTTGATTCAGGTCCCTTCCCAACACATTGCTCCTTGGCCTTCAACGAGTAACATTCAGTTCGACCATGGACTACACAGGGTCTTTGTATTCCGAGGCACTTCAAAAGTAGTCTCCAATTTCAATTAATCGTAGGCAATTTTTTTTAACTTAAATCACCTTTGCTCCTATGCTTTTTATTCAGTTCTGTATCTTCCATGTCCATGCCCTAACCCGCCCCCTACCCCCATTGCCATCATTAAAAGGGTACAAAATCCCATTGTAAGGATGACACCCAGTCATTTCTCTCCTGTACAGTCTGAAAGGAAATTGTCTGGTCCCCTAAACTACATTTCTTATGGAAGGTTTCCTAAAAGGTCTTCAGGAAATTCTCATTCTGCCACTCAACCAACCCTGATCAACATGCCACCTGGTCAGATTTCCCTATGTTTAGACAGGATCACATTTTCACCAAGAGTAGGATTAAGTTGGGAAGTGCTGAAAGGCAGGCAAGGAGTTCAGGTTAATGTCAGAGATGTTCTCTTT